GGTGGCATACTGTCAGGCTCACTACTACTTTGAGAGAAGAGTTATATAAAACAACTTAGTTTATGTTTTTGTGGTCTAACTAGATTCATTTTTAATTGGATTTATCTCTTACTGTGGTATTCATTAATGAATTTATTTTTGATCATTTTACTTGTTCAGTCATGTTTTTATTTAACTTATATTATTTTTTGCACTTCTTTTTTATTAAGGATATCGATAGCAACAAATTGCAAGTTACACAATTATTTTCATGAGATGAATTTTTTGACTCAAGCCTTGATACATGCATTGAAAAGAATCCTTATTTCCATTTTCAAAAAGAATAGAGATTACATTTCATTTACTAAGTCATAAATGTTTCAGGTTCAGTTAACTGTATGTCATCAAATCTATCACAAAATAAACATTTAATCTAAAACACATCATAAAATGTTGCTATCGACATCATATACTATGAGAAATTAGGGCAGTTTTATAAGATTCCATATCACTTGCAGTTTCTAATTTTTTTTAGTAAATAGTTTTTGTATGTGTAACATCTCAGATATATAAGAAAATCTAAACTGTAGTGTGATATCTGATCACATTTTTAATATGTGATATTTATGTCACATTTTTTAAAAATATATTTTTTTCTGGCTAAATACAAATTTCTAACTAGAAAAGAGAAGAATGTTATTATTACTGATACTTTTCATCATATGTGTATAGGCTATTCCCTTTTAAAAATTCATTCTTTCATTCATTCATTAATTTCCAGCTTCTCCTACTTCATCAACTTTGATCTACCATCCAACTGGACTTAATTTCTGTTTTTTTTATACTCCAATTGTACCACTTTTGCCATCTTTTGTTGTTTGTTGGTAGTGTGTGTGCATTTGTGTGCAAAAGAACTCAGATATATACCTGAAAAGTAACAGATTTATACCTGAGGATATTAGACTGATAGGTTAATTAAATACTAAACCTTTCCATTGAAAAATGGATCTAAAAGAAACAAAAGAAAGAAATAACACTATCATACAGTTGATTCCAAATCACAGCCACCCTATGTGACATAGTAGAACTGCCCCATAAAGGCTGTAAATCTTTACGGACGCAGACTGCCATATCTTTCTCCTGTGCAGCAGTTAAGGAGTTTGAATTGCCAACCTGTTTAGCAGGCCAATGCTTCAACCACAGTGCCACCAGAGCTCCTTTAATACTCATTAAATATATATATATATATATAAAGTCACAAATCTGAAGCTAAATTCAGCTATGATAGACATTAAGGGGAAAAAAAGCTTAATACAATGCTGCTTTGTATGAGGTGATAATACAGTATGTGTGAATGATGAAATAAGAATATAAGAAATGCCAAAATAAATACCCTCTAAGTAGCTTTTACCAATTTAATTCATAAAACAAATAACATAAGCTAAGATTTGTGAAAGGCAGCATGGTACTCAGAGATTAATAAATATTTTCAAGAAGCATAAATATCTAAAAATGTGAGACAGTATTACATATAAATAAATAATACACATCAAATGTCGAGTAAAGTTCCCAGCTCAAAACTGAATGGTTCTCATTGCCTGAAGCATTTCTTCTCTCTCTTAATTTTGGCTATAATTTACTAATCTGTTAAGGTATTTTTTTTTTTCCAGGTAGCCTTTTCATTTTTCTCCCAACATTGAAGAAAAATACTACCTTTTGCCCTCTTATAACACTAACACTTACCTGTAGTACTGCTTACATCCCACATGTTACAGATACTAAGATTGGAATCTACATTTACGTTTTAAGTTTCATTATTCTGCATTTAATAACATAGATCTTATCTTTTCTTACTTCATTGAGCACTGTGCTCAATATATTAAAAAAACAGTTGCCTTGGAGTCGACTCCAACTCATCACAACCCCATATGTGCCAGAATAGAACTCTGCTCCATAGGGTTTTCTGTGGCTGGTTTTTTGGAAGTACATCACCAGGCTTCAGGATGATGCTTTTTAGTGAGAGCTTTCGCTATTTATGCTACCCAGTGACTCCTTGTCCTTGCAGGAATTTTTGAAAAATGCATAAACTGAACTATTACAAGAGATATCTAGCCAGGGGAAATAAGAGATGCTTCATGGTACAGATAGCATTTTGAGATCAAGCATGAAGGACTGTAAGGCCAGTAGAATGAAAAGTCCCAAAAGAAATAAATATTATAAAAACAGAGAAACATAGACTGTGTGTAAGACAGAACACTAAAAAGTTAGATTGGCATTTTATTGCACAGAACCTTGCCGTGAAAAAGACATATTTATTTGCTAGCAACCAGAGACGAGATCACTGAAGGCTTTTAAAAAGATATATTACAAAATGAAAGTTGTAGCAGACATCACTAATGGCCTATCCATTATCAATTTTCCTTTTCTTACTTGTGAAGTAAGAACAGAACAGAGACATATTTATGAACAAATGCACTCAACTACCCAACTTAAAAAAAAAAAAAATCCCAATCTCTGTTTGTAGTAGGAATGACCAGGTGGCATAGTTCAGGATAATAAAATATAAGGAGTAACCTATGAGGCAGAGGCTTCTAGAAAAAACTATATTTTTCT